TTTTCCACGGGGAAGATTTCTGCATATTTGCGAAGATGGAGCAGATCTGCCTTTGCCTTCTCACTCGAATATCTTTCTTATCTCATTTACTCTCTTTGTCTTCTGGTCTCTGACTCTGTCTAGGTCCCAAGCTCTCTGTCTCTCTCTCTCTCTCTCTCTTTCTCGTTCTGTCTGTATCTCTCTCACTCTCTTTTCTCTCTCTCTCTCTCTCTCCCTATTACCCTCTCTCTCTCCCTCCCTATCTCACCCCTCTCTCTCTCCCTATCCCCTCCCCCTCTCTCTCACTCATGTGAAAACAATGAGATCAAATGGAAACATGATTCATGAACTGAATTTATATGCATTACAAGAATTGGATGATCAGTTTACATTAAATTCCAACTGCTAAAACATGCATTACGGCCAGGGCGTAGCTAGAATTTCAGGGGGGGGGGGGGGGGGCTCACAGCTGGGGGCCACGTGGACGCATCCGGGCATTGTTGTGGAAACATTTTGAAAAAACTGAAATGTATATTTTGAGCATATCGGATGAAAATCTTGGAAAGTCATTAAATCACTAGTTTTAGAAACAGGTTACGAGCCCGTTTCCTGTCTATTGGTGTTCGTAACTATGACTGCGGTAGTTATCATGTTTGCTGAAGAGAATTATATCTGTTTTTTTTCAGTAGTGTGACTGATTGATTGTTTGTGTACAATCATCTTTGGATTAGGTTTTTATTTCTCTTTCTGTGTGTTTATTGGTTTGTCTGTCTGTATCTGTCTCCAATACTCTCTCTCTCTCTCTCTCTCTCTCTCTCTCTCTCTCTCTCTCTTCCTCTCTCTTCTCTCTCTCTTCTGTTTACACACACGAGCCCGCACACACACACGAGAAATAAATATCCGATATTTTAATGCACTATACGCGAAAGCGAAGAGAGGAGGAGAGGAGAGAGAGAGAAGAGAGAGATGAGAGAGAGAGAGAGAGAGAGAGAGAGAGAGAGAGAGAGAGAGAGAGAGAGAGAGAGAGAGAGAGAGAAGGAACTAAGAACATCAGGGGTTATGGAAAAGGAATGTTAAAGTCTGAAAGAAATTAAAGGAAATTCGCTTTATGGCTGACAAAGAAAACACATTTTTATGTTGATTATCAAAGGGAATTCCAGGCAATGCAAACAGGNCAGAGAGAAATAAAAAAAGAGAAGAGAGAGAGAGAGAGAGAGAGAGAGAGAGAGTAGAAAGAAAAGAAAAATTAAAAACAAATAAGAGAAATAAATAGAGAGGAGGGGGCAAGAACGGGCGGGAAGACGAACAAGAATAAAAACAGAAAAATAATATGACTTTAAAAAAATAATGAAAAGAATATAAACTCTCAACTCAACACAACCCGGGCCAAAAACATTATAGCCAGAGCCGAGCGAAACACAGTTCCTATTTACTGCAACATATATCTAATCTTTATCTCTCGTGTTGCAACAGTGAATTTTGAGAAGAAAGGAAACACCACTACAAACCGGCCTCTCCGCAAAAAAAATGAAGAATAATAGAAAAATAATAACAATAGTAAGAATGAAAATAATGAATGATAATCAATAAGCAGTAATAATGGATATATGATGATGATGATGAATATAATAATAATAATAATAGATGAATATAATAATAATAATAAATAATAAATAATAATAATAATAATAAATAATAATAATGATAATAATGATAATAATAATAATAATGATAAAAAACAACAAGAGCAAAACGATAATGAATAATAACAACTGATGATAATAAATAATGATAAATGATAATAATAATTATAATAAACAAGAAAATGTCTATTTCCGAGACTTAAAGTTCCCGAAAAGAAGTAAGAAAATGAAATGGGTAAACATGGGTAAGGTTAAAGTAATTGGCAGGTGTCATTTTCCCTTTTTTAAAATTTGCTTTTATACTTATTGTTTATCACGACTGTTGTGTTATGGTTATCATCATCAATGATAATCAATTAAATCATTATTAGAGAGAGAAGAGAGAGGGAGGGAAGAAAGTGGAGGGAGAGAAGAGAAAGAGAGAAAGAGAGAGAGAGAGGAAAGAAGAGAGAGAAGAGAAGATAAGAGAGAGAGAGAGGCAGAGAGAGAGAGAGAGAGAAAGAGAGAGGAGAGAGAGAAGAGAGAGAGAGAGAGAGAGAGAGAGAGAGGAGAGAGAGGGGGGGTGAGTGAGGAGAGAGAAGAGAGAGAGAGAGAGGAGAGAGAGAGAGAGAGAGAGAGAGAGAGAGAGAGAGAGAGAGAGGAGAGAGAGAGAGAGAAGAGAGGTGAGTGAGAGAGAGAGAGTAGAGTGGAGTGAGTGAGAGGTAGTGAAGAGAGTGAAGAGAGAAGAAAGAGAGAGAGAAGAGAGAGAGAGAGAGAGAGAGAGAGAGAGAGAAAGAGAGAGAGAAGAGAGAGAGAGAGAGAGAGAGAGAGAGAGAGAAGGGGGGAGCAAGAAAGAGAGGAAGAGAAGGGAGAGAGAGAAGGGGGAGCAAAGAAAGGTG